AACACGTGCTAAAGCAGATCGAGAGCTACTAAGAAGAGAAACGCATCAGACGGAGAGACCTCAAGTTAGGGACCCGTTGTTGATGGGTTTGAGAAAAAATTGCATGCATCTCAATGTCGCACTGGGGATGCAGAAATCATATCATTTGACTTGGTCATCTGGCATGTCAGAGATCCTATGCGATGCAACGCACTCACGCATCGCCTTCCACGTCGTGGATGAAACACGCTCCCATTCGCAGAAAGCGATGCGCTTTTCAAGATACACGTGTAGGAGTCACAATGGATTTAGAACCCCACGACGGATCCCCGGCAGAGCGAGCATCATTGCCTTTCTGGCTTTCTCGGGGTCTTAGGTGCACGTTCAGTACGTTGGCAAGGTTGGGTGGGGGGGAGACAACTTGCGTGCTTTATTTTGTCCGGCTCCAGTTCCCAGCTGCATGTTTGTGCCCCAGACTCAGGTCCCGTCTCGATCCATACCGGAGCATACCGGACGTGCCGTGTGCTGCCATTGCATTAATAAATGGCAACGAAGAGGATTTATCGGAGGTTACCATACAGCGAATTAATGCAAGCGAGGCAACTAAGCTTGTTGGTGCTTCTTGTGCGTGTTGTTTGACCTCTGAACTTTTCTGGTTGCACGGTGCACGCCGAACCGCGAACTAACAGCACCTGCGGTACGTACTCCCAAGACCGATCCGAGCGCCGAGTTATTAACTCACTTGGAAGAGAGCCTGGAACTTGTACTCCGTAGACTGGACCAATGCTCAGAGGTACCTGTAAATTAGCGGCCGCCACCAACACCGACGCCGATAGCAACACCGAAATCCGTAATTACGGCTACGTCGGACTTTTGCAATGCTCCATGCTACACGCCGTCTATTGTTCGATCCCACCGATTCCCTTTTCAAAACAAAATTAGTAAACGCACATTAGAAACCACGGGAACCACGGGTGGAATTTGTGGACGCGTAGACTCCATTTTCAACTTTGAGGTTTGCATTACCAATTCACGCCCCCCGGAGCCGAAAAGTCCGCCGGAGACAAGACTCCTCCGTGGATTCTTCCATGTGCGTCTGAACGTGTTCCATACCGACGTCACCACAACTGAGGCTGGCGGCTGACCACGCTGACGAGACACTGTCTCGCCTCAGCCTCTTGGATGCAAATCTTTGCGTAATGTGTGTAAGAGCCAGGCAGCCTTGGGCGCCCATATGTGGCTCCCCCGAATCCCCTGTGTCTCAAAGCTGCATACAAAGTACGCCCATCTGTCCAAGTTGGTCGCCCATGGTTTGCGCCTGGTCCAATCGCTGGCAGAAGATCCTAACAGCCTGTGCCACATTCTCAGAGATGCGCGACGATCGTACCAGGAGGGATCATTGTACGCGCATGGGTGTGCGCCCGCGAGTAAGGCATCTAGGAACACAGCCATGGGTTGACGATGCAGCCACGGGAGGTGATGCAGCCATGGGTGACGATGCTTCTCACGCAATACCCATCTGTACAGGAGGATCCATTCCCCAGTGTAGCAGCCCCAGTTCCCCATAACTCGGAGACGTCCATGGATCTCTCGATGCGAATTATACGAGCCAGACTACCACCGGACGACGGTTGGTCGCTGTCGCGTGTCCCAACGCCCATCTTGGACCAACTTCGCAGCGGGATGCCTGTGCCTGGTCCAAGACACACCGAGAGCATCAACCATGGGCCCTGCATCGTGCCCAATTTGTCAACATCCCACGTGAAGTAATACCCTTTGCGACACCGAGCCGGGCGGGACGGGCCACGCCCGTTGTTCAGGAGCCCCAAACTTGCCTTTTTTGGACACCGAGATAACCTCCAGCTCCCACGGACCGCCCGCTGTTTTCGGGATCCCTTCCAGCCGGCACATCATCCAAAGTGCCCCGAGCCAATGAAGCTGGCGGTGGACGGCGGGTGATACCCTGCGGCAGGCAAGGTTTGAGGCCCGGCGTGGGAGAAGAATGACATGTAACCTGTGCCCGGCGAGTTTCTTCGTGCTCGTTGGGCATCTCCAGCTCGTAGTCATGGGTTCCATGTAGCCGTCTTTGCAACCGATTCCCGCGGGATGGCTGGGATCAGGGATTCATTCATCAAATCACTTGTCTAGCAAGGTTGTTCTCCATGTGGTTTCAAGTCATCACTGTCAGCCCTTGTCCCTGCTTGGTTGTTGGAAACATCAATTCTTGCATGTTGGGCTGAAAGAAACCTTACGTATCAGTAGGTGTACCGTGGGGGGAAGCCGTGGGCTGGATGAATATTGGCTGTTGCACATTGAGGTCAAAAGTTGACCAAGGTTCCATGCTGGGAACTGTCTCTTCTTCGTCTTCCCACACGTGGAAGAGAGCTTTGCCTAGATACAAACTCAACATTCACACTGGCCACTTTAGCCTCATCGATGAGTGTCCTGACGATTCTAGCTGCTCCCCTGAAATCTACTCTGGGAGCACGTAATCTAACGAAGTTCATACCAGAGTTGATGGCAAACGTGATGCACCGCCTAAACAACGCCCTCACCAGTAGCTGAAGCCGAATTCCGTCAACCCCAAGCATTTCCATCAGATCTCGTCCTTGTCTATGCCAAGCTAGGCCGTCCGTGATCACAATGGCTTCTGCATATTCAGGTGGCTGCCAGTAAAGCGCCATGTCGATGATGCCTGGGGGATCTGCTGACTGACTGTCGAAGAAGACATTGCCCGTCAAGTCGCCTTGGATCGCCTGAGAGGCCAAGTCTTTGGGAAGCGGTTGCTCCAGACTTTTGAGATCATCCAACGCACCTCTAAAAATGGACAGCACTTCTGCATTGACATCTGCCACATCGTTCAAGTCCTTCTCGCCCCTTGTCACGAGATCAGCCTCGTGGGAACGATTTCGTATTGTGGTCAAGAACAAGGGCTTGGAAACACCTAGCTTTGCGATGTCTGGATGAAATGCGCGAGAAACGTGCAGCACATGTTGAAATTGAATAGTCTCCCCAGCATGGCCCAAAGGCAGAGAGCTAGCCGTCCAGCCATCATACACGAACGAGTCTGGATTATTGGCAACTGTTATCGGCCGAGGGAGGCGATATGCCTTGCTAGTGAGGTCTTGCATCATTTTTGTCATTAGTTGTGCAACCCATTGTGATTCCGCATCGTCATCAGAAGGCTTGAGCACAATGCCGCCGGCCACGAAGCAAAGTCCCCTTCCAACCGGCAAAGTCTGTGGTGAACTGGAAATGCCGGATGCTGCAAGAACCGCAGCTGACGGTTGGGCCATGATGACAGGCAATCGATGGTGCGAGATTTTGTCTTTTGAAATTCCGAGGTAGCTCTCAAGTTGGTATCGTGTGAGTGATGCCTTCTTCAATTCATTGATTTTAATAACGCATTGGGGGGAATCTATCTCGATAGCTCAATAGGGTAGAACCGTAGAAGGAATCGTAGAGTCACATGGTGTCAGGGTTGCCAATCGCTGGGGTCTCTTTCGCCGTCATCAAGAGAGAATGTGCGGAATAAACTCGACGAATTAGCCAGTCGTACGTAGCGTGAATCACACTCACACATAAGCTACACAACGGTGCCCTAAAGAGTTAGCTTGCATCCTCATCTGTCTGTTCTTGGCATCACCAATGTACTTCAAGGAATAGGTTGCTCTTGTACCAGAAAGGATCATGGTCTCGATGGAAAATAAACAGCATTTTTTTCACTGCACATATCGTGAACTGTGTCCATGTAGCTCTTTTTCTGTCCACTCCCAGAGCTTCTTCCCGAGTTCCTCACTCTTCGAAAAATCACTTCCTTTTCCAGTCACCCCGACAGGCTCATAGTACTCGCCACTCAACACCATTTTTGCGCTCGCAGCCCATAGCTGGGTTTTGGCGCCTTCCCTTGGAGTCAAACCAATGAATGGGACTATGAACGCTTGGAATAAGCGTAGTAGCACCGTCTTGCCCATAGAACTGTGAAGGTCTGTCTTGACAACGCCGGGGTGGACGGATACCGTAGTGAACTGCGGGAATCTCCTCGCCAGCTCCCGAGCGTACACTGCATTCGCCAACTTGCTTTGCCCATATAGTGTTGTCGTGTACATGCCTTCGCCTTGAGTCTTGACAAGGTCAAAATCGATTCCGCTTGAAACTGTGTATCTGTGGGCTATTGAGCTGAGAATGACAACCCGGACCTCGGATGCCGATGATTGATGGGTAGAGGTGTCGATCAGGAGGGGTGTGAGATGCTTGAGAAACAACGCATGGCCTACATGGTTGACACCGAAATGCATTTCATATCCTTCATTAGTGAGCCCATATGGAACCGCCATGATGCCGGCGTTGAGTATGAGGATGTCCAGGCGGGAGGCTCGGGCAAGAAAGGTTCCAGCAGCCTTTTTGATTGAATCGAAGGAGCTGAGATCGAGTTCCAGGAAGTGGACTGACACGTTGGGGGTTTCTTCTTGTATATTGGCAATAGTTGCATCTGCTTTTTGGGAGTCCCGGGCTGCAATCCAAAGCTCGGATGGGTTGTGTTTTGATAGAGCCAGTGCACTCTCTCTTCCGAGGCCAATGTTGCCGCCGGTGATGAGAATCACTTTGCCCGCAAGTGACGGAACGTCCCTATCTGGGTCGAAACCAGACGCACAGCTCATTGCCTCGTCAGTGGAAGAGAAGAAACTGTTGCACAGTTCGAAGTTTCAAGGAGCCAAGTCTTGCATGAGGCTTTAATAAGGACTACTACTGTTGGTCTCGGGAAAACCAAGGGGGTAATTGTCCAGACCATTTCGAAGGGATTGAGGCAAGCCACAGCCCCATTCTGGCGTTGGGATATCCAATCAACAGATAGAAAAGGTGTCTGAGCTAACGGTGTGTCCGCCATCATCGTTGCTCCTCTGATGCATCTCACCAAACGGAATTTTATCGCCAGAGGTAGAATGCCACAAAATGCCAGCTGTATTAACGCGAAACTCTGCGCTTCGGTTCCACCACAGATCAGAAGTGAAGATCTCCCAGCTCACGTGGTATAGTGGTTAGCATTTCAGTTTGTGGATTACATCAACTCACTGACGACGGCGGTTCGATTCCGCCCGTGGGCACTTTCTTTTTGTCCTTTGCGGCTTTGATTACATTGAATGGTGACATTGTGTGCAGCATAGATGTTTGGCAGGATCCCACGATAATCATTTGAATCCGTGGCGAGAAATCGGTGAGATTGGTGTGCCGCCACAGGGAGCACAGTGACAATCAAGAGATCCACGAGGGAGTGTGCCAAGTGTATTAGGACGAGCTAGTTCTCTTCACTACATATGGGGTGTCGGATCGGTCTGCTTCCAAGAATGAAATGTTCGCGAATTTGTTGCTTCGAATGCTTTCTAATCCATTCCTATCCCAATGAATCAGTCTTTTCTTAAATCACTATTCCTAATGCTAACAGACAACGACAAACCTTGAGCACTGACTCCTGAGAGCACATTGCAACATGTTACTGGCAAGGCGAGAAGGGGGGGGGGGGGGGGGGGGTGTCAGGGAGGCTGATTTGTTTCCTGATCTGGATGACGGTGACTTGGGACCTCGTTTTCATGCCCAAGTATCCCAGAGATTTAAAGCTCCAGAGTCGGTCTCAGTTCTCACTCGGAGGCCACCTCCTCACTCCGCTGGTTCTGAGTTGCGTCACGGCGTCGAGGCGAGCCCCATCTTAGGCTCACCTCGAAAGCGACTTCGCCATCACCAAACCGTGGATTGATGTTGAGTGATAGCAGAAACCTTTTCGTAGCCACGAATGCAGCATAAGCTGAGTAGAAGAAGAGCACGGTCAGGGTTATGCTATGATGAGTCAGTGACAACATAGCGGGAGTGTCCATTTACTACAAGAAAGAAGGTATGCGTCTGCACACATAGGTACTCACCCGTAAAATGCTCCCACGTAAATCAAGATCTGCTTAAACACCTGCATTTTGACAGCCCACTTCTGGCAATCCTCCACTGGCCCAAAAGTTTGAGGCAGCAGATCAACGCGGTTATCATCGCCAAGGTAGCCATCGCCGGGGTCAGGCCTATCGGCATAACGGCAATAACCAGGCGAATAGCCGGCCATGAGCATCGCCACGCTGCCAACAACCACGTAGGCGGAGAGTCCAATGACAATGGTGTTGATCACAGAGTTGAAGGGTTTACGGGTACGCCAGAGGCAGATGAAGTTGCCGGCGTTGTAGACGGTGGACAGGGTGCCCTGCCAAAGATGAGCACGCAAATCCACGGGATTCACTGGGAGGCCGAGCACTCACCGTCCAAAACATGAGCCCTTCAAAATCGCTCATGTGCCAGTCGCCGTAGTCAAAGTTGGACTTTCCGTACTCGGCGAGCACCAGCTCGCCGAATAGAAAGGCCAACTCGGCGATGCCGGCACCGAGCGCGATGGCAAACCCAGGAAAGAGAAGCTTGTAATGCGACGAAGAGGGCGAAGCCTCGGCCACGTTGTCTCCATTGTCTTGGTTTGCGGGAGATCGCGTCCCGCCTGCTGCGTCGTTCGAGGTTGACCCCAGAAGGGGTGTCGTCTCCTCGGGACGATGCTCGGGGCTTGTAGAGCTCATTGCAACCGGTTGCTACGAGATTTGATGGATATAGAATGATGACAGTTGAAATTGCGGTTGACGAGGGGAAGATAAACCAACAATCAAGAAGCCAGAGTGGAAGGATTCGAGGGTGCTGACATGAGACTAGGCAGACACGCGCTATCGATCTTCCTATCTGTCCTCATCGACGTTTCAGCCAAGGCGCAGCACATTCGGCTCTGAAGGATTGGCTTCCTCTATCTGATTTGACCAATTACAGACGAAACAATGCAATCAAACCTAGCCCTTTGAGTAGTCAATGCTCTCTACGTAGTAGGTAATGTTGGATCTGAAAGACATGTCGACGTCTTGGGTAACGCATCTTGTCTCCAAGCGACCGGGATTTTGTCAACCAAGATAGTTCAGCAGCGAAGGAGGGCATTTATTAGGATATTTAATGATATCAATTGCAGACCACACGTTCATGGATCAATAATTAATTTTCCTCATTGAAAACTTCCAATTGAATGCGCAGCATCAACAACATGCCAACATTCGAGCTTCTACATATTCACCCAGCATCTAAAAATAGCACCCGTTCTGAGCTATCATATCATAGCCATCATATCATCATCAGTTATCCACCCAACGGATCAATTCCCGGCCTGCCTCTCCTCTCTGCGTGAATTTCTTGTGCCGGCTCAAGCCCTGCAGTCCCGTCAATTCCGGAGCCGGTCCTCGCTTAGAGCCGCCTAGACATGCGGGATGATAAACTCCCGCAAACGACTCGCGATCAGCCATCTCCTCTTCGGCGTCCTAACCGAATGACCAATAAGGGCAACAGTTTGTTGCTGAGATATCCACCCAGCACGACCTTGAGTGTCCGGTTAGGTCCCGATACCCCTCAGCAGGTTGACTAATGACGTTGGGCAGATGGGTATTTGAATAGAAATACCTCAGCTTTCCTTCATCTTTCAGTTCTCTCCTTCATCATCACTCCTCCAATCTCACTCCTCACTTACCTCATCTCTCAATATCCAATTACCTTATCACGCAACTCGACAAATCAATACTTCGGTACGATGTGACCAAAGAAAGAGCCATGTCGCTTCGCAATGATCCTACGTATCAAGGTAACGTTTAAAAGAACGCATCCGGGTGTTCGACTCGTGCTTTACTTGCTCCTCCTTCGTCAAGGGATGTACATCCCGGCATGTTGGAGGACAGGCAGGGCTGAGTTGATCTGAGAAATACCGGCGAACTTGATCTGGATAATACCAGCGAAAGGACATGCTTCTTTGCTTCCTCCCCTTTGCCTCGTGTGGTTGGCAGACTGACCCTAGTAGCATTTCGCTTGATCCGTCAACATGTCGACTGACAAGATCACCTTCCTCACCAACTGGTATGGGAGATGACCGTGATAGCTAGCATTGTGAATGAATGTTAATGCCTTGATAGGCACGCGACGCCTTACCACGCCCCGTTGTACCTGGCCCAGTCCAAGGGATACTTTAAGGATGAAGGAATCAAGGTTGCTCTGCTTGAGCCCAACGACCCCAGTGTATGTGTTCGAGGTGTACTCGACCGTTTGAAGACACTGACAATTGTAGGATGTCACCGAAATCATTGGAACCGGCAAAGTCGATCTTGGCTTCAAGGCCATGATCCACACCCTCGCGGTACGCTTCATCCCTTCTCATCTCCCCATCAATGATGACGTCCAACCACTAACACGGTATCATGATGCAGGCCAAGGCTCGAGACTTTCCCGTGCTGTCCATTGGAAGTCTGCTCGACGAGCCCTTTACGGGCGTCGTCTACCTCAAGTCGTCGGGCATCACGACCGACTTCCGCACGCTCAAGGGCAAGCGCATCGGCTACGTGGGCGAGTTTGGCAAGATCCAGATCGACGAGCTGACGTCGCACTACGGCATGACGCCCGACGACTACACGGCCGTCCGGTGCGGTATGAACGTGTCGCGCGCCATCACCACGGGCGAGATTGACGCCGGCATCGGCCTCGAGAACGTCCAGATGGTCGAGCTCGAGGAGTGGCTTGATGCCCAGGGCCGCCCCAAGTCGGACGTGCAGATGCTGCGCATCGACGAGCTGGCCGAGCTCGGCTGCTGCTGCTTTTGCACCATCTTGTACATTGGCAACGAGGCCTTCCTCCGTGATCACCCTCAGGAGACGCGTGCCTTTATGCGCGCCGTCAAGCGCGCCACCGACTTTGTCCTCGCCGAGCCCGAGCAGGCCTGGGCCGAGTACGTCGCCTTCAAGCCCGTCATGGGCACCGACCTGAACCGCAAGATCTTTGAGCGGAGCTTCGCCTACTTCTCCAAGGATCTCAAGAACGTGCGCCGTGACTGGGACAAGGTCACCAAGTACGGCAAGCGCCTCGGCGTCCTGGATGCTTCGTTCGCGCCAAACTACTCCAACGAGTATCTCGAGTGGGTGCTCGAGCCCGAATCCAACGACCCCGTCGGCGACCAGAAGCGCATCGCCAAGCTGCAGAAGGAGGTTGCTGCTTCGGGCGGCTTCCAGAGGATTACGGCTGGAGAGGTTCAGGCCTAAAGTCAACGATGGTAACGCATGGCTTGCGAGTCTAGAGGTTGAAACACCTCAAACTAGGCCATCTACCTTTCGAGATGTCCTCGAGTTGACCCGCACACTCTTTCCTTAGTCCCGAGCTCGGCGGTGCTTTCAACAAACACCAAGTAGTAAATTCAATCGTTTTGCATTCGTAAATGGTCCCAATTATGTTATCATCAATCTAACCAAGACATGCATGTTGTTGCGCCGACAAATTGACCACCATCCCTCCCTGTTTTTCTCCCCAACGCAAAGCCAAGCCCATATTTTGTTGTGCCCACAAGCTTCTAATATCGCTACACTGGCCCAGGGACCTTTGAGTCATTACACATTAGCCCGTCAATCATCGGGTCTCCCCCCACACAAAGATAGTCAGTTCTTGAAGAGGCTCAGGCGGAGCCTCGACCGGCCCTTCATCTTCTGCGAGCTCTGGTTGCTCACGGGCCGGTCGTCATAGCTGTCGATGCGCTCCACGCGCGGCATGGGCATGGGCTCGGGCGACAGCTGCCTCTCCGGCTCGCCGCGCAGAGCTCGACCCACACCCTCGTGCTGGCGCTCGTACTCGTCGTGCTTGGACTTGGCTTCGAGGTAGCGCTCCTCGGCCTGCATCCTCCGGTCCTGCATGATGCGCAGCTCCTCGTCGAGCTGATGCATCTGCTGCTGGGCCTCTTGCATGAGGTTGTCGTACTCGTTGATCTTTTGCTCCAGCGGCTGCAGCACGCTCTTCATGACGCTGGGGCTGTTGAGGCGGTTGATGGAGTTGCCCTCGACGGACAAGCCTCCGGGCGAGTGAGGACTTCTCTGTTGTGCCTCGGCCATCAACTGGCCCCGTCTGCCATTCGGGGCAGAGCGAGGAGGAGACATGTGAGGATCGGGGTGTTCTGGCCCGAGGGGAGGCGGACCGTCAGAGGCTGAGGGACGGCGTACTGGTTGGCCTGTGTTGCGTCGATAAT